CTATTTCTTCCTATGGAAAGCCTAACAAATGATTTACAATTGTCGCCACACAGACATTGTGGTCATTACCCGAAAAGGCTATACTCGTATATTAAACGTAGGACTAAAACTAGCAGTGGTATACCTTCACTCATAAGCATTAGTGGAGAAGCGGCTGAGTCAGACGAAGGAAAAGCTGAAAACCTCTCTGAATACTTCTGTGACGTCTTCTCGTCTGATAGTCACACTCGGGGATATGGCGAGGTGACTGCCATCGCCACTCAGATGCTCTTAATTGTGGTAGAGCACACAAAGGTCCTCAAACTACTGTGTCAAAAGAAGCCAGGTAAATCACCTGGGCCTGATGGACTTCACCCTAAAGTGTTAATTTCCTTGGCGGATGTAATATATATTCCGCTTACGGAGATTTTCCAAGTGTCTTTGACCCAGGCTAAGCTACCAAGGGACTGGAAGGATGCCATTATAAGTTCCATCTTCAAAGAGGGGGACCGGCAATTGGCATCTAACTACAGGCCGGTAAGTCTGACATGCATTATAGCAAAGGTATTGGAAACTATTATAAGGGATCAGCTATTAGCTTATGTTGAAACACATGGCTTGCTGGCTGTGGAACAGCATGGATTCCGACCAGGACGATCCTGCCTGACAAACCTACTGTTGGCTAGGGAAGACTGGGTTGAGGCCAGAGATAAAAACCTTCTGTTGGACGTGGTCTTTATTGATCTTAGCAAAGTATCCCACTTATGTCTCCCTAGTAAACTTGAAGGTTTCGGACTAGACCAATGCCTATGTGAGTGGTTTAGGGATTACCTAATGGATGGAAGGCAGAAGGTTAGAGTTAACGGTGTACTATCAGGATGAAAAGCAGTATCCAGTGGACTGCCCCAGGGAACTGTATTAGGCCCCTTGCTATTCTTATTATACGCTAATGAATTACCGGGGAATCTTACTTCATCTTCATTATTATTTGTAGACGACATTAAGATCTGGGAAACTGTAAATAATAACGAGGATAGGTCGGCCCTACGAACTGATCTAGATAAATTAGCTGAGTGGTCGAGCCTGCGGAGTTTGGAAATGAATTCTAACAAAAGCACGGTAATGCACTTAGGTCAGAAGTCTTATACGTCGTACTCCCTAGGGGACACAGAACCACCTGCTGTTAACGAACAGAAGGACCTAGGAATCATTGTCAGCAATGATTTGAAAACAACTGCAAATTGCAATGCAGCCGTAGCTAAGGCTTTTCGAATGCTATGGGCACTTCGAAGGGCTTTCAAACGATTAGACGAGGGCATGTTCCAAATACTCTACGCAACATATGTCAGGCCTCATCAAGAATACTGCATACAAGCGGCGAGTTCATGCTTCAAAAAGGAGGCACATATCCTGGAAAGAGTACAGAGAGTAGGAACAAAATTAGTTAGTGGTATCTCACACCTTCCTTATGATAAGAGGATGCAGCACTTAAATCTCTTCCCGTTATCATACCGAAGGAAGAGGGGCGACCTAATTTTAGCATACCGTATACTTAAGGGTGATTTAGGAACTGACGTTTCTAACCTTTTCACCACTTCTAGGATACATTTACAGGGTCACCGCGAATAGGTGCTCAAACCGAGGACGATTAAAATACGTGAAGAATTTAGATTCTCTCACAGAGTGGTCAACGACTGGAACTCCTTACCTGATTCAGTAGTATCAGCTCCATCGGTGAACGCTGTCAAAGAGAAGTTAGTTCTCTGCAGAGATAGATTTTGCAAAAATTATACAGGCCACAAGAGCCTTCTATCCTTATTATCTGAATCATTTGGGTGTTCTGATTTATCTTTGGTCTAAGCAGAACAAGTACCATAGAAGTTAGACAATAAGAACTTGAGTAAACCTCGACACCCCTTCACACCTAAATTGATGAGCTCATATGCGGACCTTTATCGTTCACTTAAACGTCATCTTTCGAAAAGGACATTTAGGTTTATGGAAAATGTATTAGAGCTTTGATCTAGTCTTGAGATTCTACAGAAATGCAAACTCACTAACCCAAGAAGGATAAAAATCAAGAAGTATCTGGTTTCCAAGTGATAATATTAATATTTGATCACGAATTTGGAATCCTATCCCATAATTTCTAACTTCTGCCATTTTGCGGGATAGTGACGTCACCATATAGCTAACTGTCTTCTAATCTGATGAACTTCACCTGATCATGACTTCTCAGTGGAAGTTACTAATAAGTAGTGGAAGGATTTTTAAATGTAAGACTTTATTAATTTACAGGCTAACTGCATTCATAAAGTTGCGTCATGAGAACGGTAACCTATCGATAATATTCGAAGCTATATGAAGATCTATTGGAAGATGTAAAATCATGTGACTGAAAACCAGTGGTGTTACTTCCAGACTACATAATTTCAAGTCAGATGTCCGACAAAGTTATAGGTCTGAGCTTCTGACAAGCTATCGAATGGGACCGAATAGCTACTGCTTGCTCAAGCATTCTTCGGTTTGCCGAAGCTATCACAATAAAACGGCTGAAATATGGCTTATGTCTCCAAAAAAAAACCTTCATTGGACTTGAATTACCCTGGTGACTCATCCTGTAATATTTTTCGTTTTCTCTTTAGACTAACTTGTCTTTTCAACTCGCACCCCCCTTTTTTGCTGTTTGACTTCCATAAGAGATAATTCTTCTTGACTTTATGATATTGCATCATCATTGGACCAGTCGTGTTATCTGTGGTGGTTGATTTAAAAAGGAGAGTGGTATTTTTACGTTGTGAAGTAAATTCTGCTTCTGTTGTTTAAACCACATCAGGAGCTTTTTAGTTGACTTTAACTGATTTATTTAGTTGAAGTGTTGTTCATTTTATTCACATTTTGTGTTTTTGTTGGTATTTACCTCACTGTTTTCATGTACACATATTTATGTAGTTTAAACAGATTAGAGTTATGGGCCCGACTAACAACTGTGGACCACCGGACTGCCACTTTCCGAGGGATGATGGGATGCAGTGTGACAACTGACATAGGGCTTCAACTGCACGTCTCTACTTGCTTCTGTCTTCTGCTGTCTTCTACTTTTCACCTGTATCCATGTTGGTCCATACTGTTTCAAATCCTCTTCACACCATCTCCTCCATGTCACCCTTCCACCGACGTACCACTTGCCGCTCCCCTTTCGGCCTGGTTCCACTCGAGCAATGGCCCGACGCGCGCGCGATATCACCCAGCGGCCGGCCTCCTTAGCCGCGAGTGTCCAATCCATCTCCACTTTCTCCTGCATATTTGTTGGTCAAGTGACTGGTTCTTGTTTTGTTTGTTCCCATAATTCCTTGTTGGCGATTCTTTCCGGCCCGGCCATCTGATCTTCAGTATAGAGCTAGCGAAGGCAGTTGTTGGTTGATGAAGGTCTGCAACAAGCTGTTGGAAATATTCTTTGTGATCCACCCACCAAGTTTCTGTCTGATCCGTATAGAAGAACTGACTGACTGACTTGACGTTGTTTGTATTGAAAATCCGACAGAATTTTGTGGTTGATGCTGGCTGAGTGACGAATATTTCCAGATTGGTTTCAGTCAGGTTGATGAGTGAATGTGTTTCCCGCTCGCCTTCCCGATTCTCGCTCGATTTGACATCCTCGTCCGTTCCTTCGTTCCTGTAGTTGAGACAATGCTCCCTAGATAATGAAGTGAATGAAGTAACCTCTTTCAAATCCCTCCTGTTGATGGTGATTGGATGGCTGGATGTCGCTGCTGTTGTTGTTGTTGTTGTTGTTGGTCGGTTGATGATTTTCATAACCTCCATCTTGTCTATGTTCACTTGGAGTCCTGTCTTCGCCGGCTGCTTCTTCGACCAGTTTGTCGGTTTTCGCTCGCTTGTAAGTTTTCGATTTTGTGTGTGTGGCATCAAACATAAATGATCCACGCGCGAAATCCAGGTCTTCTAGGTTCTTCACGTCGGTCGGTCCAGGATATTCCTGTCTTCTCGTTTCCCACACACTGTCCGACACATAATCCAGTCAGTTCACCACAATTAGGAATATCATTGGTGATAATAAGCACCCTTGTCTGACTTCTGTGTTTACACCAAACGCGTTGCTGAGTTTTCCGTTGTGGATCACTTGACATGTGCCGTTGTTATATATATATATATATATATATATATATATATATATATATATAGATATATACTTCAGCTACCTTACCATCCTGATATTTTACCTCACCATGATCCTCTTATAACATGCTAGTTGATGGACAAAAGAATATTAAATTTTACGCTGACTGTCATTTATTAAAGATACTCATTTGTATGCAGTTGACGAGAACCAACGAAACAAAATGGGTCCATGTTATTCTGTACCAATGTTTGTTTTTCCTCGGTTCACATTTATAAAAGGAAATCCTTTTATAATACTGTTTACTTTATGGTTTGCAAATTTTTACTTAATATCCGTCTGCAACGAAGTTCACTTTTAAATTAACCGAATTCACAAGAATCTAATTAATACTCAAGTAAGCAGCAATTACTATTCAAGACAAAAGCTAACGACTGAGAGTGAAGTGAAAAGCCAGGTGACAATAGTACAGTTTGAATCAGTCAATAACCACGTCACTCACTCGACACTAGGGCTCTTTCAGCTGTAATAACAACTGGTAAGTGTGAGTTAAGCTATTAATTCACCGGTCTAGAAATTGAGTAGGCCGTTAGTTTGCATATATTGCTGAACTATGTAGGTTTAGTTTTTGTCTTCATTCACGGCTCATTACACCTTTCTGAGCTGTTTAGTCAAAGTCCCCTTCGAATAATCTTACCAGTGACGCTTATCAGTTAGTCAAGTTTTCATTTCTATAACAGAAAACAAGAAATAAAGCATTATGAAAAAAAAACTTTTAATATTTTGTTCATTCTATACTAAGGAACAAAATCAGATATATTATCGGCATCACAGCTGTCTGTCATCCACATCGCATCCTTCTTCTTCGCTTCATTATAATCTTTTATAGACGTTCCAATTGAATGGGTGATGTATAAATACTGCCCAGTGCAAATGGTATACACGCAGCAGTTATCCATAGTGAAGCGAATATCCAGCACTTGTAAAAATCCGTCCCACCAATAAGCATTAACACGTTAGATGAACACAGAAAACCAACTAAAGTAGAAATGAATACAGGCAGAAACAGTTAGTGGTATTAACAAAATATGAATTGAGTGAATAAATATGTACCATCTGAATATAATTAGTCACCAGAGGACTGTTAGAATGACATCTTCATTCTGATTAATATCCACTAATATATCTGAGTATATATATATTATTCCTTTGGGTTCCGTGTGGAATATAGACCTTCAACAACACATTTCCACTTTCTTCTATCTTCTGCTCTAATTTTCATCTGGCTAGCCCCACAATCGCCCATAATCTCTCATCTCTTCCCCCAACTCACACGATCTCCTCCATGTCACCCTCGCAACGACGACCCACTCGTCGCTTCCAATTGCAATTCTACTAGAGCAATGGCCTGCATTTCACGCGATTTCAATTGACGGCCTCCTCAATGAATGCCCGATCCATCTATCTCCATTTCCTCCTTCATATTTGGCGAGCAATCGGCTTTCACCCGTTGGTTTGTTTCCAACCAGAGTTTCTTGTTAATAATACTTCCTGGCTAGCCAGCCATTTGATCCTCAATATGCAGCTAACCAACGACGGGGGCAGCTGTTGATAAAAGTCTGCGATAGCCTGTAGAAAATACTTCTCGTGACTCATATGAAGTGGAAGTTTCTGACCCGTATAGAATAAGTGACTGACTGACTTCACATTTGTGTTGAACAGAATCTGAATCTTGTTGTTTATCCTGGCTGAGTGAGTAAAGCAGTAGATTTCCAAACTGATTTCAGAGTGATGAAGGTTTGTCTTGTCTTTTCGATTCTGACTGGTTTTGACATCTTCATTCGTGATGTCGCCTGTAGTTGAAACGATGCTTCTTAGATAAGTGAAGGAAGTAACCTTTATCAGATTTCTTCTACTGATGGTGGTTGGTGCTGGTTGTTGTTGTTGTTGCTGTTGGTTGGTTGGTTATCTTCATCAGATACCTCCATCTTCTCTGTGTTCACCTGCAGACCTGTCTTCGCTTCTTGCCCGCTTCTTCAGTCAGGTTTTTGGTTTACGCCTGCCTCTAAGTCTTTGAGTTTGTGTGAGTGACATTAAGCATAAATCATCCACACGCGAAATCCAGATCTTATAGATGGAGTCTTCTCATCGGTCGCCCAGAGTATTCCTGACTCCTCGCCCCCAACAGCCTCATGCGTAATCCAGTCCACCATAATTCAGAATATCATCGTGGGTGATAATAGGCAACCAGCTCATCTTACTACTGTATTCAATTCGAACGCCTCACTGAGTTTTCCGTTGTGGATCATCTGACACTTGACAGACACTGTCATATAACCAGCTGTTGAATGAGGTTGTTGAAGCAGTATCCAAATTACTTTTTGGTCAACGCTATCGAAGGCCCTTTCGAAGTCTATCAAGTTTAGGTGGAATGAGGTCTGAATGCCATTCTATACTTTTCAGTGATGAAGATGCGTAGAGTTGCTATTTGAACAGCACACGATTTGCCTTCCCTGAATCCAGATAGTTCCGGGTGGAGTTCTGTATCCATTGCATCTTTTATTCTCCTCAAGATGACGCGCCTCAGTATTTTACTTGTCGTGGACAGGAGCATGATTCCACGCCAGCCATTTCTTGAGGAGAGAGGCGTAAGTCGCCCTCCTTTGGTAGCATGACAAGGTAGCTAACTTTTCTTCCAATCGGTAGGGCACTTTCCATCGTTCCAAACCTTTTGTATTAATGGCGTAAGCATATCTGCTGCAGCCTCTGGGTCCGATTTCAGTGCTTCAGGGGAATTCCATCTGGTCTTGCTACCTTCCCCGCCGAACTGCAGTAGCTTGATCGCATTCAGTATTTCCGACTTTTTTGCAGGATTGATGTCCAGTGGTAGGCGATTCTGTTTGTGCTGTCATTAGTGGTGTATTTCCCGACGAGCTGCAGGTGATGTTCGATTCAAGAGTGCTCTAAAGTGATCAGACCATTGTATTATTTGTTCCTCCCCTTTGGTAATCATGTTCCCTTGGACATCTTTTATTGGCTTCGTCATCTGGGTTGATCTCTATCATATATAATGTTCTGAGGTCTCTTTTATTTACAGCCAGCCTCTTCTGCTTCATTTGCCGGTTAGTGTGTCGTAGAATTGTCTTTTGTCTTTCCTAGCACTTTTCTTCACCTCTGTCTTTATTCTGTGCAGTGTCCATTGAACTCAGCTTCTCGTTCTATTGTCTATCTTTTCATCGAGTCGTCTTCTGCTCCACCTACCTCCCCTCTTCTATTAGCTTCTAGGTATCTGCTGAGATCTATTCCTTCTCGTGGTACCTGCTTCCTTCAGCATCATCTCCAGAGTGTTAGTTCCAATGTTCTTTCGCACAGAATTCTTCAGTGATGCCACGTAGTGTCCCCGACTTTGCTCTGATCTGATTTGCAGTGAAAGTAACTCTTGTAGTTGCATCTTTCAGTTTCTGAATGTTGAACTTGAACTGTGGTCTATCTCCAGTTGTTTCGAAGGCTTTCAGCTCCACCTTAAAGGTTCCTTATATATAGAAGGGATGGCTGAGAGACAGTATTTTCGGCATAGTGGTATGCAATCTGAGGTTCAGATCTCGGCTGACCCATTTCTAAATCTCGCCTAGTCGTTGTAGTAAGCCTGGTAAATAGGGAAGGTTGAACGTCAGGCTAGTAACGTCATCATGTAAAACACCAGAATAACACTACTGTCATTGAAACTTCACAGCCGTATGTTCCACGCGGAACGCAAAGTAATAAATTTAAAAAATATAGAAATAATGTCATGGACAGCATTACGATAGTTAACATTTATCATTATAGATGTGTATCTCTTCTAAGAAGTCTGGAGCGTTGTTTACAGTAGATTAATTAAACCAAAACGTCTCAGCTTCACATAAAATCCAAAACACAGGCTTTATTCAAAACACATCCCTTTACAAGAATACACTTAATAGAATATGCACAGCTCATACTGAGTGGTATGTCTAGGCTTTAAGTTATCAAATTCACTGTTACTATACGTCATCACGAAGAAACAGCAGTGTTGTGTCAAAGGTGGTCTACGCTTAGAAATAAACAAAACGGAAATGTACGGGTCAAGGATAAAGAGATTCGAATAAACAATGTTCAGCCAAGAGTGGAACATACAGAATAAGTCTGCAGCAAAAACTATTTCACCGTAAGATTATTGATTGTGCGGGACCAAACAGGATGTTTATAAACTAAATGACACATATTCTGATGGAAATGATTAATTATGGCTGCGCAGTAACGAAATAATAAACAAAATATAAACTTATACTACTTGCTAGTAAGAAGTAGTTCAGAGTTGAACACGAATAAAATAGGTAGAAGGAATTTGAATAGGGCATTCAGAATAATTAAGGTATTTTTGTATTTCCAAATTAATGAAAAACAAAACGATATTGTTTTTACTGACGTTTTGCTATTTAATGCTAATAGCTTTATCAAATTATTATTAAATTATTTTCATAGGGCATTCAGAGGATCAATTTAGGGAAATGATTTCATTTCTCTACAATTGCTTTACAAATAGTATGATTCACCACTTTTGTTCCGATCCAATATGAACGTTCTCTACTGAAATGTTTGTTTTCAAAGACGAGAAAAATATACACGAGCACCGCAATGTTGGATGAACTTCCACACATACATTCACTTTTATTAGCTAATGGTTATCCAGAAAACTTTATCAATTGTCACAGTAAGGATAGACCGCAACTTGAAAAGACACCATCTGTACCAAAGAAAGCTATCTTTATTAACCTACCATTCAAGGGCGACAAGATTATGCAGTTGACAGCTAGCTCAAAGACTTCGGTCAGCCATCAAACGCACATTCTACGCCACCGCATCTCTTTTTCTCATTTGCCGAACATTTTCGATCCCTGTACCTACGATTAAAGGACGAAATTTTGTGGACTCTACTTCAAACTGTATCTACAAGTTCATCTACTGCTGTGGTGACACCTATATAGGTAGAACCAACCGAATGTACCACTGTCGTCGAAAAGAACATGTTCCACAATGGCTACTAAATCATATAGAAAATCCCAACGCGATTAATCTGAATAGAAATCTGTCGTCATCTATTACAAAGTACTTAACAATGTTAGGTCACAAAGTCCAGATTAATGACTGTTTCAGAATTACTTCACATAACTTTAATTCAAGGTTATCGAAAGTGATGGAAGCACTTTAGATTGATCACATACATCCTAAACTATGTGTACAAAAAACAACAGACTTCAACCTTCGCCTACCATGAACTGACTACTTGACCTATTTAAATATGATTAGTCATTAGTATGTACTTTTGCCTTTTATATAACTGAGTAATTGTCTTGCATTTTATTTTATTATTATTGTGAATCATTTTAGTTGTAAAGAGATGGTAGAGAAACTACGAAATGATATCATTTCGCGAAATTTTTCTTCCAAATGACTTATTCAGATTAATCAAAGGGACCAATTGTTTTAAGAAAGGAATTAACAATAGTGTCTAAGAATGAATTAAGTTATCCATTCTTAATACATCTAATCATTAATCAAAGATCACGATTTACAGGAGAATATAAGAAAGACCTGGATTAAACATCTCCCATTCATTTAAAAATAGCATTGAAAAGAGAAGAGACAGATAAAGAGTATGTCATGAAGAAAATAGAACAAGAAACAAAGGATAATTTTATCATTTTATCTTAAATGTCACGTTTAAAAGTCTCCGAGGCCTCATTGTTTTGTTAATGCAACTTATTATTATGAATTCGTCTGTCAGAGATGATTTGGGTATTTGTTGTTAAACAGTTTCTTCGTGACTGCCCGAAAAATAATGCATTTAGAGGTAACCATAGCATTACAAAGCGTATAAATGATATTTTCAAGAGTTAGTTCATAGGGATTGTATTGGTTTCAGGATAGACCACTGGCTGATGTCAATTAGAGTTTGGTGAGAGCAGGCTGCTAGTCGATTAGTTGACACTAAGCTACGTTAATATGGGCCGTGAGAAAATATGAACAAGGCTGAGTCAACAACCAATCACAGCAAAGTTAACGTGGCAAAATATGATTCGCAGATAGAGAACTCTATTTGTCAAGGAATCTCGAAACAACCAATCAGAAGCCTGCGTTTGTCTGCCTAACTTCTGATAAACAACCAATCAGATGACTGCGCTTGTCTATAATAATGTATGTGAAATCTGTATAAATACGTGTTGATTTTCATAATAAAACGATCTGTTGCCTGGCCCTTGTCTTCTGTTGTTACAAGAGGACCAATCAAAATCAACAGGGAGTACTAGACAGCTGTTTTATCCTGGCATGGGTATGATCGGCAGTCCGAACCCACCATTGAGTTTCCAACTCAGGACTCTCTGCACCCAATCTGGTTGGTGGGTGTGTACCGTAGATGAGACCTAAAATAGGACGAAACAGCTATCAAATATCATCTTCTGATTTTCAGTGGTTCTCTAACTGATATCAGTCCGTGGTCTAGCCTGAAATAAACGATATCGCTTGATAGCATTAATCACACCAACAGATTTTTTTGTGACTCCGGTTTATTGATTTTTTTGCGTCTCTCCTCTTACTCTCCTTAATGTGAAGTATAAACAATGGATACAGAAAATCAAAAAGTGAACTTAAAAGTTCTATTTATTTGAGTTTTAAATTAATTTTGTATATTCCGTTAATTGAACCGGTATATTTAGCATTTCTTAACTTGTGGGCATGTCGTAGGGACTCTTCAGTGATGTACGAGGATTAATATGTTGTTATTTGGTGGCTAAGGACTGGCAGGGGTATCTAGGATGCTCATTTGGCCTTATTCTAGGCTCCTCAGCTGAATGTGACTGCAATCCCCAGTGGGTGATGGTATTGTCAATGAGACTTGAACCCAATACTCATTGTTTCAAACATCAAGACGAGTAACCACTAGGCCAGAAATCGGACGGTTTGAAATGATTCGGTTCTGTGCGCTGAGTCAAAGCAGGTACACTTCTGATGAAGACAACCCGAAAGGAACGAAACTGCTATCAGGTGTTTAGATCACTTCGTTCTGGCTAGTATTCTCTATCGGTTGATATAAGTGGTACACAATAACTCATCTCAATCAATCAATAGTACATAATTCTATGGATTTCTGCTTGCTTTCTTAATGATCAGTTATGGTGAAAAGCATTTTATATGTTATGATCCAAATAATTTTGGTTTCCAAAGGAAATTGTTATGAAATTTCAACGGGAAATAATAAATTGGCATTGGTTAGAGAACCATTGGGAAACCTGCACGGAGTACTGGACAGCTGTTTCGTCAGCCTAGTTTGGGACTCTTCACCAGTAGGAATCCATCTTGGTTTGGACCCAGGACCTTTTGGTTACAAGGCGAGTTAGCTAGCAGACCATTAAGCCACTAGGATCCGATGCAGTGGCCGCACCATGAATTCCATCTTCTGCCGATTCAGGACATAGCGCGACCACTAATCCATGTCTTCAGCGAGTATTAGTCCTCACCTTCAATCTGCTGTATACTATCGGTCACCACTTCCCTTAAGATTTGTCAGTTTTAGGTATACAACGATGAAATCAAGAGGTTAAAAGTCATTAAAACAGTTAACTAATAGATGTTGGTAAAACATATTTAAGTTTTGAAGGAGGGGTGAGAATTAATTTAGGAAATGAAGATCAGTTAATTCTTAGGGGGTGGCGACAATTTATTACGTAATTGGGGAATTAGTGAAATACCAATGATGACTAAGAAGGATAGGAATTATATAAGATGCAGGTGAACTGACTGAATTGGCCAGAATTGTAATCATAAGAAAATAACATATACATATCTATCAGTTTAACTGCTCGCGAGGAGCTAGTATCATTGGGCGTACGATCGACCAAGTTCATCATCCACTTTGTAAATATCTGTCATCTTGGTTTGGCTAAGGTACGACCGATGCTATATGCAGCTCTATACTAGTTCATCTCATCACTACTGGACATCAAGTTGACTCTAACAAAGCTTTTAAAGTTATTTATTGTATTTCACTCAACCTTTCACATGCACGACGAGCACGGCATTTACATACAGCAGAGGCAATCGGGATTCATCTGAACATGTAGATCCGTGTGTTCAAAAATATGTGTAAAGCCCCTTTCTTTGCCATGGTCAACTTCAGGCTGTGTAGTAGGTTTTGAAAACGATTTTCCTCTCTCCTTGTAAACATCTCTTGATATTTTTATCTTTCCACAATTCTAGCTAATTCTATTAACACAGAAGGTTCTGGGTTCGGACCCCAGTGGGAGCGTACTGATGAAAAGTCCCAAACTATGCTGACGTAACAGCTGTCCAGTACTCCACTACTAGTTTTCCAATGGTTCTCTAACTGATGTCAGCTCACGGTGAAATCCTCCAATTAATTAATTAATTGAAATTCCCTACAAAAAACCAATACTTGAAAATTAATCTAATGTGCACTAGAGACTGGCTCTATTCAGGTAGGTAGTTACCTGGATTCTCGTGGGAAGCTGTGTCCAGTAGGGTATAGCAGGTTGACGGTGAGGCATTAACTCATCGAAGAACACATTGCGAAGTGGTCGCTCTGTGTCATGAATTGGCAGAAGCTGGAATTCATAGGCTCGCCACTGGATCGGGTCCCCGTGGCTTAATTATTTAAGAGTTCTCTGGCGTTGTGACCAGAAGATCCTGGGTTCGAAGCACCCTGTGGTAAGTACTGCTGGAATGTCCTAAAATAGTCTGAAGAAACAGCTGTACAGTAATCCAATACTAGTTTCCAGTGGTTCTCCAGATGATATCAGCTCATGATGAAATCCTCCATCCAATCAAACTAAACCCCACAAAACCAATACCTGAAGATAATTCTATTGACTTGTTTGTATTTTTATTAATTCTTCTCAGTTATCCTATCCTTTTTAGTCATCATTGCTATTTCACTAATTTCACATTTATGTGATAATTTGTTGCTAACCCTCACGAATTAACTGGTCTTGAATTCCTTAATTAACTTTCATCTCCCTTTCGAAACTTTGATATCTTTTTACAAACAAACCTATTAGTTAGTTGTTTTAATGACTTTTAACCTCTCAATTTCATCGTCGTATACCTAAAAATGACAAATCTTATGATCTGATATAACCAAATGAGTGGTAGAGTTTGTGTATAAAAGACTGTATATTAGGGTAAAGCCAGTCGACATTGAGGAACTAATTCAAAAGGACAGACGTGAAGAGCCTAGAAGACCTGGATTTCGCTCGTGGACCATTTATGTCTGATGTCACTGTCACAAAATTGAAAACTTACAAGCGAGCGAAAACCGACAAACTGGTCGAAGAAGCAGCCGGCGAAGACAGGACTCCAAGTGAACATAGACAAGATGGAGGTTATGAAAATAACCAACCGACCAACAACAACAACAACAGCAGCAGCGACATCCAGCCATCCAATCACCATCAACAGGAGGGATTTGAAAGAGGTCACTTCATTCACTTCATTATCTAGGGAGCATTGTCTCAACTACAGGAACGGAGGAACGGACGAGGATGTCAAATCGAGCGAGAATCGGGAAGGCGAGCGGGAAACACATTCACTCATCAACCTGACTGAAACCAATCTGGAAATATTCGTCACTCAGCCAGCATCAACCACAAAATTCAGTCGGATTTTCAATACAAACAACGTCAAGTCAGTCAGTCAGTTCTTCTATACGGATCAGACAGAAACTTGGTGGGTGGATCACAAAGAATATTTCCAACAGCCTGTTGCAGACCTTCATCAACCAACAACTGTCTTCGCTAGCTCTATACTGAAGATCAGATGGCCGGGCCGGAAAGAATCATCAACTATGGGAAACTATGGGAACAAACAAAACAAGAACCAGTCACTTGACCAACAAATATGCAGGAGAAAGTGGAGATGGATTGGACACTCGCGGCTAAGGAGGCCGGCCGCTGGGTGATATCGCGCGCGCGTCAGGCAATTGCTCGAGTGGAACCAGG